ATTCAGTTCTTGCTTTGTGAAAAAACATTTAAAAAATTAAGGTGAACATGTAAATATTGTATAAGCCTAACTTCCTACAAAGACAGTACCATCACTTTATATTACTATTTGTTTTACAAAATTGAAAGCATTACGATGTCACTTCCTATTTAGATATTTGTGTTTTCCTAAGTCAAATAAATTGAGATGTAAGATTTGATAGATGCTTTTTAAAAGAGAGTAACTAAGGTGATTACTTTAAAACCAGTCATTTGGCTCATACCCTTGCATGTTAATGTTCTTCATTATGGGTCGTATCATGTTAGAAATTCAGGAGGGAGGTCTGCATAGGTAATGCTTCACTGTAATAGTTAATAATACAAGCTCTCTTTTATAAAGGTCTTAATGCATGTCTGGCTGGAATATATACCTATGTGTGTATATATGATTTCTCATCCCTTCAAGATACAAGGATTCCCATTTTACAAGTTAAAAAAACAGACTCTGATAAGTGAATTAGCCTGCCTAAAATCATTGATAGTAAATTGGAGAAGCTCATCTAACTCCAGATCCTTTCCACATTCTCTACTTCAGGAGGTCTGGTGGTAATCATTACATTGATTGGCATTGGTAATACCAATGTTCCAAGATACTTCGATGTTATTTCCAGCCTCATTTAAATATTAAGTAAATACCAGTAAATCTGAAGTCACTATGTAATTGACTAAGCTCAGAAACTTAGAAATCAGTTTTGGGGTAGGATTCACACTTTCATGCATGCAGATGTCTTTGAGTGACATATCTGATTTGACTTATTCTATATTCCATCATTTCTCCGGACCTTTTTGAATTCCACAATACTTTGAAAATAACCATAGTGTGCTTGTTATCACATTTGCAGAATGGCCTCAATTTGAAGTCTGTCCCCAGTAGAACTAGAGGATGTCTTTTGCTCTTTTTGGGTTTTCTTTTTATTGTTGAGTTATAAGAGTTCTTTGTGTATTCTGAACATTAGACCATTGTCAGATATATGAGTTAGAAATACTTCCATCCTGTGGATTGTATTTTCACTTTCTTGCTAGTGTCTTTTGAAGCGTAAGTTTTTAATATTGATGAAGCTCATTTTATCTATATTTTCGTTCGTTGTTTGTGCTTTTGCTGGCATATCTAAGAAACTAATGACTAAGATTACAAGATTTACACCTATGTTTTCTTCTAAAAGTTCTATAATTTTAGCTTGTAGATTTAGATGTATGACGCATTTTGCATTAATTTGTGCCTGTGATGTGAAGTGACAGTCCAACTTCATTCCTTGCCTGTGGATATCCAGCTGTTCCCACACAATATGCTGAAAAGACTATTCCAACTGTTGAATTGTCTTGATATCCTTGTTGAGAATGAATTGACCATAAACGTAAGGGTTTATTTCTATACTCTCAATTCTGTTTCATTAACCTGTATGTCTCTGCCAGTACCTCACTGTTTTGATTACTTAGCTTTGTAGTAAATTTTGAATTGGGAAAATGTATGGTCTGTCCTGGAGAATGCTCCATGTGTAATTGAGAAGAATGTGTATTCCACTCTTATTGGATAGAGCATTCTGTAGATATCTGTCTGGTAATTAGTTCGTATTATTGCTCAAATCTTCTATTTCCTTTTGGATCTTTTTTTAGATGTTCTCTTTATTATTGAAAGTGTGATATTGAAGTCCCTAACTATTTTTGTTGAATTGTCTAATTTCTCCCTTTAATTCTGTCAGTTTTAGCTTCATGTATTTTGAGGTCTGTTGTTATAAATGTTTATATATATGCATACATTTTTATAATAATTTTATTCTCTTGATACATTGACCCTTTTATCAATATAAATAAATGCCCTTCCTTTTCTCTAGTAGCATATTTTGTCCTAAAGTCTATTTTGTCTGATATTAGTACTTTCATGAGCTGCATAACAACATTTTAGTCATGACAGACCACAAGTACGATCATGGTCCCATAATATTAGTACCATATAGCCTAGGAGTGAGGAGGCTATTCCTTCCAGGTTTGTGTAAGTGCACGCCATGATGTTCACACAATGATGGAATCACCTAACAACGTATTTCTTAGAATATATCCCTGTTGTTAAAAAACACGTGACTGTACAGCTATGGTAATTCTCTTTTGCTTAGTATTTCCATGGTATACTCTCTTCCGTCCTTTTTCTGTCAGTGTACTTTTATCTTTGAATCTAAAGTGTGTCTCTCACAGACAGCAAGTGAGTGTATCATATTTTTTAACTTGATGCCCTTTTCTGCCTTTTAATTTGTGCATTTAATCCGTTTACATTTAGTGTAATTACTATTAAGGTAGGATTTACAACTGCCAGTTTCCTTTTATTTTCTATATGTCTTATGTCTTTTTTGCACTTTACTACCTCCTTTTATGTGAAATAGATTATCTTTTACTACCCCACTTTAATTCCATTGTCATTTCTTTTCCTACTGTTTTAATTTTTTAAAATATTTTCTTTGCCTCCTCTGGAGATTGCAATTTACATCTTATATCAGTCTTTTGTAGATTTATATCAACTTAATTTTAACAGTACACCAAAAAATCTGCTCCTCTGTAGCTCCATTCTCACTCTCCCACCTTTGTGTTGTTATTGTCATACAAATTACAGCTTTATACATTGTGTGCCTAACAACACAGATTTGTGGTATTTCTTCATGCAGTTATCTTTTAAGTCAAATAGGAGAAAGAAGAGTTACAACAAAAAATACATTTACGTACTGTCTTTTATCTTTCCCTAAGTAGTTACCTGTACTAATGTTCTTTACTTGTTCATGTGAATTCAGATTACTGTCTAATGACCTTTACTTTACCTGTAGGACTTCTTTTAGTATTTCCTGTAGAGCATAGCTGCTAGTGATGAATTCTCTCAGTTTTTGTTTACCTGGGAATATCTTAATTTTTCCTTTTTTTTTTTTTTTTTTTTTTTGGTGAGAAAAATTGACCCTGAGCTAACTTTCATTGGCAATCTTCCAGTTTTTTTGCTTGAGGGATTTCAGCCCTCGGCTAACATCTGTGCCAGTCTTCCTCTATTTTGTGTGTGGGATGTCTCCACAGCATAACTAATGAGTGGAGTAGGTCTGTGCCTGGGATCTGAACCCGTGAACCTGGGCTGCTGAAGCAGAGTTCGTGGAACTTTAACCACATGGCCACAGGGCCAGCCCCTTAATTTTTCCGTCTTTGAAGGACTGTTTTGCTGGATGTAGAATTCTTAGTTAACACTCTTTTTGTTTTAGTACATGGAATGTGGAATCCCATTGTCTTCTGGCCTCCACAATTTCTCTTAAGAGATCAATGTGTGATCTTATTGATGATCTCCTGCACTTGATGAGCACTTCTCTCTTGTTGCTTTAAGATTCTCTCTTTGCCTTTGTCTTTAACATTTTGACTGTGATGTATCTAGATGTGGGTCTCTTTGAATTTATCCTACTTGGAATTTGTTGACCTTCTTGGATTTGTAAAGTTTTTCATCAAATTTGGGAAGTTTTTAACCATTATTTCTCCAAATAATCTTTCTGGTCCTTTCTCTTTTCTTCCTGAGCATCTCATTATGCATATATTCGGGTTTGTTGGTGTCCCACAGGTCTCTCAGACCCTGTTCATTTTGCTTCATTCTTTTTTTCTTTTTCCTTCCTTAGACTGGATAATCTCAATTGATCTGTCTTCAAGTTCACTGATTGTTTCTTCTGCCTAGTCATATCTGATGTTGAACCTCTAGTGAATTTTTCATTTCATTTGTTATACTTTGTAACTCAAGAACTTCTTTGGATTCTTTTTTATTGTGTTCTGTATCTATATTCTCTATTTGGTGAGGCATTGTTCTTAAACTTTTCTTTAGTTCTTTAGATGCAGAGTACTCTTCCATTCCTTGAATATATTTCAAATAACTGATTTAAAATCTTTATCTGTTAAGTCCAATGTCTCAGCTTCCTGAGGGACAGTTTCTATTACTTTTTTCTTGTATATGGACCATACTTTCATGTTTATTTGCATGTTGCCTAATTTTTTGTTTAAAACTGGATGTTTAGTATAATGTGTCAACTGTGGAAATCAAATTCTCCTCCCTCCCCAGGGAGGATTTGGTTTTCCTGTGCTGAACTTCAAGGTCAGCAGAAGGAGAGAGCTTAGGGCCTTGTCAGGTCTTTCCTGGGCGTGTATGTGGCACTGTGCATGCACGTAACCTTCGAGATCCCAGGAATATGTCAGAGCTTTCCAAAGCCCACATGGACATCTCGTTCCCCTACTTCTCCTTGGAAGCTTATTGAATGCCCCATTGTTTGTTCCAGTTTTTCTCTTCCACCTCAGACAGCTGAAATCTTAAACAATTCCCTCTAATTACGTTCTTCAAATACCCCCAGGGAAAAGGCTCTTTGTACTGGATGAGCTCCAAGTCAGGTATAAATAAATACAATCAAATAATAAATAATTACTATTTATTAGTAAATACAAATAAAATTTATTATTACAAATAAATAGAATAAGTGAATACAAATGAGACAGTCCTCTGCAGTGGGGTTTTGAAAGCTCTCCACCTGCTCTGCTCCCCTCATTCAGCTGCTGCTTCCCCCATTATTGCAGCCCCTGGTTGTCAGGAGCCCTGCAGAGCTGGGGTGGCAGGTGGGAACAGGACAAATTAAAGCAGCACAAACTCATTGTTCATACCAAGATTCGCCCAATTTTTTAAAAAAAGCAAGTGCTCCCTAGATTTCTGCAATCCTTTGGTTAATTTCCAGAGTTGTGAAAATGTTGATTCTGACCATTTTTGCCAGTTTCTCTTTGCTTTTTTAGAGACAATTTTTGAAGGTTCTTACTTCATCGTTTTCACTTACGTCACTCATATTTTTCTTTACACTATGATTAGATATACAGTTAAATGCTAGCTGAATTAATAATGATTCACTAAAAGCAGAATGCTTCTTTCTTTCCAGAAACTTCTCTGAACTTTTTTGTACTTCTCCTGTTGTATTTTAGGACTATGATGATGGATATGGCACTGCTTATGATGAACAGAGTTATGATTCCTATGATAACAGCTATAGCACCCCAGTCCAAAGGTAAGAGTCAATCTTCATAAGCAGACCGCATAACAGACACTTGTGCCTTCCACGTTTATAGACTGAGAAAGGTTGCTGATCGGCCTGTGAGGGTAATTTGACTTGGTCTGCTTTGTCTTTTGTTTGTTTTCATTGGAGAAGCACTATCTGTCTTACCAACTAGTGTGTATTACTCCTCCCAAATTTACTTTAGTGTTAAAGCAATGAAACTTGGGAAATAAGAATTGAAATTTTATTTCCTCTAAAAATTTGACTTAAGTGTTCAATATGTTCTGAGGAGGAACAGTGTCTACAAAGTCTCTGGCTATTCAAGTCCTGAGGCTGCAAATCGCATCAGAAATACGTAAATATCCCACGTTGTCAAGTGCCTGGGGAAGAAAGTGCCACAAGTTTTGTTTCATAGTCATAGAACGTTTCCATTTTCTTAGCAGCAGAGTTCCTGTTTTCTACAACTTCAAATTTCTATTTGTGGATATGTTAGTTCCAATTCATTTCCTAAAGAAGTATTTACCGAGAAGTAAGTGTTGCGAGAGGCAAAACAGCTTCACTGTCACCTCTTCTAATAATGCACCTTGATGTTCACCGATATCTGAAATCAGTGTTTATTCTATTCAGAGTGTTTTCCTAAATGCCTGGAAACCTCTCGCTTGATGTTTAAAATTCTAAGTGGAGCACAAAGATAGATTTACACAAAACATATTGGCTTTAAGAAGCATAAAAACATGTGGATGTGGTTATTTTGATAAAACGTACATTAATTTTTGAACTCACCCGGTGCCGGGCAGGCTTTGAACAGATGGGTCCTCTTATTTGTTAACTCTGCTAGTGGGGTTGACAGGGATATACAATGGTTTTTTCTTTTTGTTCATGCCGAATTTTTTTTGTTATATAGCTTGTAACAATTAAGTGACCTTCCAACTTTGACCCTCAAGTGGTCTTTTTCAGTGGAAGCCTGTGGGTCGTTTGGATCCTTGAGGGTGTTAGACGCCCCCAGGGTGACGGGCATTAGCGGATTCTAGACAAGAGTTTACATACAGTATCTCATTGAAGTGTTCCAGCGACTTTATGAAGTTTGTGATGCTGTTCCCGTCATATAGATGAAGAAAAGGATCACAGAGCATAACGTTAACTAATTCGCCAAAAATCTCACATGGAGCGTAATCCTTAACTCACATGCTTCCTTTCATATGAACGGCAGCTGCAAGAGTGAATGTACCTCTATTTTATAGGTGATGGAACTGAGACTCAGAAGTAAAAGACTAATCCAGGATGTGAACCTGGACCCAGAACACTAAAGTCCCTGCACTTTAAGCTGTGATAACATGTCAATGTGCTGGGTCACAAGCATTCATTCCTTTGGTCACTTATTCAGCTGACATTTATTGAATGTCCACTATATTAGGCACTGCTCTTGATGCTTGGGATACAAAGATTATTGAGGCAGATACCCTCTCCTTGAAAAGCTCACAGGCTAGCAGGAAGCAAATATAAATATGTAAAAGCAATATAATATGGTGATCACTATGAGAGGTCTGAGGAAACACTCCGTATTTCCATAAGAAGACAGTGCTGAGTCTGGTCGGGAATACGGGGACATTTCACTGAGAAAGGGAAGGGTAAGTAGGAGTCACCCAGGTGCAAACAGGGAGGGGCATTTCACAAAGCAGGGACAGCAACGCACAGAGGTGCCAAATAGCAGGTGTTGTTTGGGAACTCCTCATCATTTTGTAGAACCAGAGGGTGATGCGCAGGAAAGAGAAGAGGCGCGAGGCGGAGTGGCTGCATGGCCCCTGCCCAGGAGCCAGAGCTTGACACTGTAGGCAGCAGTAGGGAGCCATCGAAGAGTTCCATGCAAGGGAACAATGTTGAGGCTTGAGTTCAGAGAAATTAATGAGATGGCCGTGGAGGGGCTGGATTGACAGATGGCGAGCCTGGAGGCTGAGATCCATTAGGAAGCTGGTACATTATAAATTATAAGCCCTGTAAATGTCAGGCAAGACTCACTTTAAGAAACATCTTGCATGACAGCCCATTTACCTTCTTTGAAGTGATCTTTTCAATGCTACAACTCATCTTACCTGAAGGAGTACAGAGAATTGTGCACGTTGGCAAATGCAGAAACCACTGTTTGTTAGGTATTCTGAATATACGTTTAATAAATAAACATTAGTCCTTTTAAAGAGGAAAACTGTGCTTCACAAAAATTAGGTAATTAGCCTAAGATCATGCAACTTCCAAGCGAAGGAGTGGGACTTGGAACCTAGGTCTGTCTGACCGCGTGCACCTTCCTCTGTAGCGCTCAATCCTAACTAAGCAGCCACTCTATTGTACATCGGAAGGAAGCAGCTACATTATGTAGTAAGATGAAGAAATGGTTTTATGCACTGTGTTAGTTTGCTAGAGTTACCGTAACAAACTAGCACAGACGGGGTGGTTTAAGCAACAGAAATTCGTTTTCTCACCATTCTTAAGGATGGACGGGATCAAGGTGACGGCAGGTTTGGCTTCTTTTGAGGCCTCTCTCCCTGACTTGCAGACAGCTGCCTTCTCCCTGTGTCTTCATATGGCCTTTGCTCTGTGCACGTGCATCCCTGCTCTCTCTCTGTGTATCCAAATTTCTTCTCTTATGATGACACCAGTGAGAGTGGATTAAGACTCACACAAGGCCTCCTTTTAACTTAATCACCTCTGTAAAGGCCCTGAAATACGATCACATTCTGAGGTCCTGGAAGTTAGGGCTTCCTGTGACTTTGCAGGGGACACAATTCAGCCCATAAGGTGCACATATTATAACACTGGTTTAAGGACAAGACTGTATGGCTCAGAATTAGAAATTTAGTATAAACCAGTTAGTGTAGCAAAGTTTCAAATCGTCCCCAGGATCAGATAGTGGGTATTATCAAGGAAATCACCGTTACCCTCATCTTCAGTTACGGAGTGTGTTTACTGTATGCTTGTTGCTATTCCAGACTCTTCACCTAAATTCTCTCTCCTCTCTCAGCATGCCCTGAAATACTACAAAAGTCAAGTCTGAACATGTCATCCTCTTGCCAACAGGTTCAGAAAGGTGAAATCACTTCCCCAGACTCGCAAGGCTGAGCACTGGTTCAAACCCACGCTGGCCCCAAGCATCCTCTTGGTACTCTGCTCCGTCGCCATTTCACTCTCCTTTTGTCATGGTTTTGATTTTGATTGCTGAAACTGATTCCTATTGGTATTCCCCACATACAGTATTCAAAAATGTAATACTTTGTGATGCTTTTGAATCCCTTAGGAATTATGCTTCATCCGAACTGGAAGTGTTGCCTTATCAGGCTTGGACTACCTTAATCCAACCTAAGAATTTCATTTAGCTGGCATATTAATGTTGTAGGCTAAGACTAATGAAATTAAGAACTTTGTTTTTCCAGTTTTACATTAGATCTTTTCAGCAAATAACATTCACTGCCACTGCTCTCAAGGAGCACACAGCCTTATTTTCGCTAATAGATATTACCTTGTAACACTTGATATTCTGTCGTCTAAAATTCCTTGATTTTGACACTGCAGGTTCTATGAAATGAATTTCTTACTTCAATAATTCTCTCAATTCAACATTTGACAGAACATTCTATGTTAGAGTTATGTAATCCAGTATTACTGCAGAATTCTTTACTTAGGGTCCTTTTAGATTACAAAGCTCTTCTGAAAGTGTTCTCTGACATGTCATGATGTAGTCGAAAGAGCGCTGAGCAGAAGTGAAACTGCACGGTCAGCTGTGGTAGCCATGAGCGCGGATGGCTGTTGAACGCTTGAAACGTGACTGGTCCAGACCAAGATGTGTTAGAAGTGTGAAACACACACCAGATTCCAAAGACTTAGTGTGAAGTAAAGAAGGTGAAATATATTTAATTTTGCCTGTTTGTTTTTACTTTTATTTTTAATGTGGCTGCTACGAAACTTTAAATCACAAATTTCTCTTGGACAGCACAGAGTTAAAAGACGCTGGCTATGTCTCTGGCATTCCAGAACAGTGAAGTGTCTCCACGTTAGGGCACACACCCTCGGGCCACACAGGTCCGCTCACGAGATGCAGAAGGAAAATGAGAGAAATCAACTCATATTTGTCCATTTTAAATTACTGTTTTGATGTTTTGTGCTGTGTGTAAGGTATAACTCGTTAATACTATAGCACACACAAGCTCAAAAGTGGTTTACTTTCCAAAAGTGGTTTTAGATCCCAACTTTCACATTTACTGGTTCTGTGACTTTGGGCAAGTTATTTCACGTCTCTAAGCCTCAGTTTGTAAAATGTGTAACTTAGTTTCTTCTTTAGAGGGTGGTCCCGAAGGTTGATGAGATAGGAAAGCCCACAGTTAGCATGAGGTGCGCTGTCTGCAATGTCTTCTCTGGGAGAGGACTAAAGGAGATAACTTATGTAAGGTAGTTACCATGTGATATAAGGCAGTTAGTACCCCGTAAACCCCAGTTCCCTCCCTCCTTCCGCACCTCTAAATTATTTCTGCTTCTCCTTTCACACAGGGGTGGCCTTGAGAAGCAGGTATTAGTAAATCTGGAAGGACTGTGCAAGTAAATGATTTGCAGGGAGAAGGAGAAGAGAGAGGGGGTACCTTGTGGGGGCCTTCTCCCCTCAGGGATGGTCTGTATAGATATCTCCCATAAACTGGATTAGCCAGGCGAGCAGCCGTGGCCCACTTGAAAACAAACTAGAAGCCAGCACTGTGGGATGGCTGGCCAGTGGGTGTTATCAGTGTGTGAACGGGTTCCTTTCAGGCGTGACTTAGATTCCGTAAGCCGTAATCATTTATGGCACTGTTCTGTGGGGCAAACAACAGTTTCTCTCGAGAGGTTTTACGAATTAGGAACTTTTTTCTCTCAATTTTCAAATACCTTGTATTAAAATTAGAGTACAAATGAGAATCCCTACAGAGTGATAGAAATTCAGTGTGGTTCAGCTCCATTTCCCCATTGATTTCTGTAACGACCTGGCAAGTGTGAAT